GCACCATTGAAAATTAAATTTTCTATTGTAATTATATTGTTTATTCGAATTATATTGTTCATTCAACTTTTCTCTCTTCCAACTCATTACAATCTTACACACGTTAAATTATACCACAATTAACATTGACCATTGGAAATAAACTTTTTTAATTTCATTTCTCCATGCTATACATATCAATATCAAAATGGACAATGTGCCATTAAAGATGCTATTAGTCATAGGTGATAAGATCAAGTTGAATTTGATCTTGAATGAGATGACCTGATGATGTCCAACCTGAATTGTGGTCTCGCTCGAGCTGGGTGAGGTCCGTAAAGGAGTCATTGATGAATAAGAAAACTAAAACGTTCGACTCATTACTATTTTACAACATATTTGCATAAGCCTCAAAGGACAACTTCATTGTTCGATTCTAATTGTCACACAAGCATCACCGAAATTTTGCAAAAAAAGCACACCAATACGAGTTCGACTGGACTCAATTTGTCTATGTTGAGAACCTCTTGGCATTGCATGTAATCAGAGACGACAGTTGCAGGCTAAGCAAGGCCAGTTTCGAACATGTTGAGTACACCACTCACATTATAAAAAAAAAATATATATATATATATAGGAACCTGTCTCTTATTTTTATTAAAAGATATCAACAAAATTATGTAATTACAGGAAGGTCAACAAATAATTAACAATAGCAACCAGCTTATGAAACATGCATTCATTTATTCAAGATTAAGTGCTGCAATTTGATTCAAATCAACAACAATATTTACATTTACGGTGGATTTATGAAAAGTTTCTTTGTAAATTACAGTGTATATGTTACACATGAAGTTCCATCATTTAATAAAGAATCACTCACCAAGAACATTGAAAAAAAAGGTGTGTTTCTCTTTAGCTTTCAGTGGACATTACGCGTGATTAACCCCTCAAAAATGACAGAAAGATCCTTGTTATCGGGTCCAAAAATTTCATCCGCCTTCCGTAAGGTTTCCTACACACAAGACAGGCGAAACAAAACAATCTAAATGGGTTCTTGCTGACAATATGTTTAAGGCAAGAAAGCAAGAAGGTTGTTGGTTATGGTATCAAGTAAAATTGTAAGCTCTTCAAGCGCATGTTTTCTAAATGGATATTTGTTAATCTTTCTTTTCTTTGCTATTTTTTTCTTTTATAATGAGTACACATTCTAGGAGGGATGCTGGAGATTAAACTAAAAGGTCTAGACCAGAAAGTACTAACAACTCGACCAATATTTTATCCCCATGAAAATATCCAGTAGGCCACGTATTATCAAGTATTAAGATGATATAGATACACATGTAGAATCTTCTATATCTATACTATTTGGAACAAGTTAAACTTGATAGGTCAGATTTTCCCACAACTGCCACTATTATAGAATATAATTTACATTTCACTGCTACAGCAGTAAGAAATTCTCTTATATGTTTTGTAATTGTCCTATTTATTAAATTATACTAATTAATTAAAAAATAAAAATAAAACACTGGCAAATATTTTTTCTCTGAAACTATTTTTTTTTTTCTCCCTACTTGTTTTGCTTGTCAATGAGAAATAGCCTTATTTTGTCTAAAATCATAAATTATACCAACAAAGTATGAGAGTTTTCTAAACTCATTAAAATAAATTGTATGACACACACACACTCACACGCATTACTTGCACATATAAACTTCGGGTTTAATGCACCAAATCCTCCTATATTATACTAAATCTGCGTGTTTCCCCGTAGTATTTAAAAAATTGCGTCAGACCCCCTTCTATTAAGGTTTAGCATGCGCGAAACACCCTAAACCGTCTAAGATAACGGAAGTGGCGTGCACGCGCGTGCTGTGCAGCTTTTTCTTCATTTTTTCACCTCAAAGTGGCGGACATTTCTTCATTTTTTCACCTCAAAGTGGCGGAAATTACTATTTTACCCTTGAATTATGTGCAAAACCTAAATGGTATGAAACGTGGGCAACAAGATTCGAACTTGGGTTGAAAAGGAAGGGAATGGCCGCTCAACCACTAGGCCATATGAATGGATGTGTAATCTATTGAACATACATATATCTATACATCATACTGAAATGAATTAAATAGTATTAAAATAAGTAAATAAATAAAATAAAAGGATAATATGTCAATGTACTATAAATTAAAAAATTAATAATAATAATA